GAGAAGAAAATCCCTGCAGATGTGGTGTTACCAACAATGGCTGGCCAGCTGCTTGTATTGGCATCCTGTTCTCACTGAAAGCTGATGTCTGCATACTATACTATTCTAATGCTGGTGTGGCTGTTGTGAGAAAAGAATCCTCTTTCATTGTTGATGGGAATGAAAACTAGTATAACCATTATGGAAATAGCTATGGAGATTTCTCAAAGAACTGAAATTAGAAATCCCGTATGACCCAGATATCTCCCTGCTAGTTATCTTTCCCAAAGAGCTTAAGTCATCATACTATAGCAATATATGCATACTAATGATTATAGCAGCACAAATTTGTAATAGCTAAATCCTGGAAACAGCCTGTATACATATTAACAGACATTTGGATAAAGAAAATGTGGTATGCCGGGCGTGGTGGTGCAGGCCTGTAATCCCAGCACTTGGGAGGCTGAGGGAGGAGAATCACTGTGAGTTCAAGACCAGCCTGAGCTACATAGTGAGTTCCAGGTCAGTCTCAATTACATAGAGAGACCCTGTCTCAAAAAAAAAAAAAAGAAAAAAAAATGTGGTATCTATATATAATGGAATACTACTCAGCTACAAAGAATCACAAATTTGACCCATTTGAAGGAAAATGCATTAACCTGGAAAATATAATTTTGAATTAAACAAACCAGATACACAAGCTTAAATACTGTATGATATCTTCCATTTGAGTGAGGCAAAGTACAAACAAAGACAATAATCAAAGGTGGATGAAGGGGACAATGGGTGGATCTCTTGCAATAGGGAAGTTATCCAAGGGAATAATGGTAAGAGGTGAGAAGGAGGAGAAGGAGAAATAAGTAGAATAATGATATGTCATTTCCAGTAACCAAATAGTCTCAATTAATGTAAACATTATATGCCATATCATGTGCTAAGACTAATATCAACAAGAATGAAAAATGGGATAGAGGAACTGGAGGAACAGGGAGGGAGGGGAAGGAAAGGGGATTTTTTTTTAAAAAAGAAACAAGCTGTAGTATAATATATATAT